CGCTCCAGAAACAGATTATTTAAAAAGCAATTAATTTAATGAGAAATAAGATGCTTTCACTTCAAAATCAGCCCCCTGTGCCTATAGTCCCCAACTCATTAATCCCAGGCCAGAGGGAAATGCCTTGGGCCACCCCAAGTGTTGACTTTGCCCTGGGTCCCTGAGCTTAGCTCTTTGTCCCTGCCCTGAGGACACACAGCGCTATTATGTGCTCTCCTTTGGGAGGAGGAAAGATAATAGGCTCAGTCTTCAGAAATTCCCTCATGATGCCTTAGCTTTGCTCAGAGGGTGCTGTGGCAAAGAGGTAAGAGGGGGCCAAAGCTTTTACATGTGCTTAAGCAGGGATGTGGAAAGAGAAAAAACAGATAGAAATCAAATAAAAGTTCCCAGCTCTGGACAGGGCACTCTAAGCCCCTTGGTGCTTTTCATTCTTATCTCCAAATTTAGGTCTGTTTTCCTTTTACTCTGCTTTTCAGTGTGTAGGTGTTCCCCTTATAACACCCTCTCCACTCAGTTGAACATTTTCTCTAGATGAGACATGTTCACATCTATAGAGCATCTCTTTCAGGCTAACAATGAGCTATGCCCTGAACGTAGAAGTAGTGCTTTCCTGGGAAGACAGAAAAATCCAGACACAGATGCATGCATGCAGTGTGACACTTTGCTCCATGTATGGTCCAGTGGAAGCCAAAGATGGAGTGGTACCCACTACCTAGGGATATCAGTAAAGATGTCAGGACAAAGTATGAAACGAAGGCTAGAACTCTTCCAGATGAATAAGGGAGAAAGAGGACTCCAGCTGTGGAGAGCTGGTAAGTACAAAAAATCAAAGCTATGAAATTGCATGGAGGTTACTGGAATTATAAGATGTTAAGTACTTACTGATCTTCAACAAAGCTAATACCGTATTTCTTTTTTTTTTTTTTAATAATACCATTTTTTTTTTTGTTTGTTTGTTTTTTTGTCTTTTTCCTTTTTATCGGTACCAGGGATCGAACTCACGACTGCCTGCTTGCAAGGCAGGTGCTTATGCTGCTGAGCTAAATCCCCAGCCCCTAATAATACCGTATTTCTTACGGTTAATCAGTTGATAGTCTTAAAGCATTTAAAAAATCACATTCCTGTGAGTTTGATCTCTGGTACCAAAAAAAAAAAAAAGATTCCTCACCTATAGTGGTGGCACATTCATGAAATCCCAGCTACTTAGGAGGCTGAGACAGGAGATACTAGACAATGTAGAAAGCTCCTGTCTCAAAATTATAAAAAATAGTAGGGGGCTGGGGATTTAGCTAAGTGGTGTAACTACCTGCCTGGCAAGCTGGCAAGTGCAAGGTTATGAATTCAGCCCTCGGTACCAATATATATATATGTCTTAGTCATGATGACACATGACTGTAATCCCAGAACTTTGGGAGGCTGACACAAGAAGAACACTAAGTTTGAGTTCAGCTTGGGCAGCTTAGAAACCTAGGAAGACTCTGTCTCAAATTAAAAACTAAACATAAAGGAGCTGGGATATAGTTTAGTATGAAACTTTGGGTTCAATCAAGTACTGAAAGAAGTGAAGGACAAGGAGAAGGAGTGGAAGAGGAAAAAGAAGAAAGGTAAAAAGGAAAGAGAAGGAAGAGAGGGCAGAAGAAAGGACAGCAGGTGGGCCACATTCCTCAAGTTGATCCTCAATATCTTTTTTTTTTTTTTTTTTTTTTTTTTGGTACCAAGGATTAAACTCATGACCTCACTCTTGCCAGGCAGGCACTTATGCTGCTGAGCTAAATTCCCAGCCCCTGATCCTCAGTATGCTAACTAGAGTAATTGCTGCAGAGAAGTGAAAAGCAGGAACATTTTTCTGTATCTATTTACCTATGCTGATTCCCATTTAGTTGTTGTGACTGCAATAAACATGCTATATAGATATCTCTTTCATGTACTGAGTTCATTTCCTTCCTGTATCTACTGTATGGTAATTCTATCTTCGGGTTTTCAAGGAAGCTTCATACTGATTGGCATAGTGGCTGTACTAATTTATATTCCTATCAATAACACATGCTCACCAGCATTTTGTTTTTTGATTGACTAATTGATTGATTTATTGATCAATACATGTTTTCACTACAATATGCTTACATGCCTTGCATGGATTTGGTGCATGTACATAACACATCTTAATTCCTCTTTTCATTTTCTTCTTTCCCATCTTCCTCCCCTTCCCTACTTCCTATTATCTTTTTTTTTTTTTTTTTGCTCTTTATTTGTATTTTTGGCTTCTCATATAAGAGAAACTATGTGATATTTAAGCTTCTGTGTTTGATTTGCTAATAGACATTCTGACTAGGGTGAGATTAAATTTCAGTGTAGTTCTGATTTGCATTTCCCTGTATGGTTAGAAAATAAAGATATGGTGTATATATACACATCAGAATTTTATTCAGTCCTAAGTTAGAATGAAATAGTGACCTTTACAGGAAAGTGGATGGAACTAGAGATCTTCAAGCTAAGTGATATCAGCCAGACACAGAAAGAAAAGCATCATATGTTTTCTTTCATATGTGGAAGCTAAGGAAAAAAATGGAAAGAAAGTAGAAGAGTGACTATTAGGAAAGGTGAAGGGGACTAGATCAGGCATAGGGAAAGAAAAGATAAAACGGTAGTACTGAGGGTAGATATGATCAAACATGACATCTACATGCATGAAACTGTCACAGTGAAATCCATTAATAACTGATTCATTAATGTGCATTAATACACATTAATAACTACAATGTAAAAACAAAAAAGCAGCTACTTTTCCTTTTTTTGTTGTTCATTTGTTTTGTTTTTTTGAGACAGGATATTGCTACATGGTCCAGGCTAACCTTGAACTCACTTGTATACCCAGGCTGGCCTCAAACTCATAGCAACCTTCCTGCCTTGCCTCAAGGTTGCTGGGATTACAGGTCTACACTATCACAGCTGGCTATCAACAACATTTCCATGATACATAAAGGTCTGCCCACGGAGACAGAGCCTATGCTTTTTCTATTCTTAGTCTTAACCTAGTGTCTGGCATCCAGTGGCCACTCAAACAACTGTGGAGTAAAAAAATGATGAAATGTAGACAGTCAATTACATGTCCCAAAGTATTTAGACACCACCACAATCAATGGAAGTTATCTTTAGAGAGAGGATCTAACATCACATAAGTTAAAAATGAAACATTTCAACTCAAAGGATAATACTTTCTGTTATATAACGTGTATAAAATTAAGGATCACTGTCTCCTGGACAAAGATATAATAGTCAAACAGAAATTGAGACTGATTAATTTTGTAGTGGTGGGGATTAAAAGCAGGGCCTTGTGCATGTTAGGTTAGTTCTGTACCACTGAGCTATACCACCCACCCCCAGGCTTATTTTTCTAAATGGAGAAAATAAAAAGTAAATGGCTCTCATGCTCTTCATGGTCAATTGTAAAACCTTCCTGATAAATGGTGTCTCTGGGACTAAAACTGTTCAATGGTGAACTCATCCCTGGATTTAATCCCCAGAACCAAAATAATAATAAAAGGCTTTGTTTTGTTTTTTGGTGCTGGGGATTGAACCTAGGGCCTTGCACATGCTATACTGGGGATAGAACATGCCAAGCACATACCCTATCAATAAGACACACCCAAGGGGCCCTGACTAAAGGGATTTTATGACAGGGAATTATAGCTACCTGACCCTGAAAATTTCTTCCATTATTCATTCAACAAATATTTTGAAGCATATATTATTTACAGTCATTTCTGAGAATCTTCAGGAGACTCACTCTGGGGTACCACAAAATATAGTCCCTTTATATAAAGTGGCAAAATGTTTGCATATGACCTAGGCACCCTCTCCTAAATACTTAAAATTACCCTTAGATGACTTATAATACTATGTAGATAATATTGTATGTAGTTATACTCGATTTTTGAAGGAACAGTGATCAATAAACATCTGTACACATTCAGCACACATAATCATTTTGATTCATAGCTGGTTGAATCCACATCTGTGGAATTCAGTGTTTCAAATATGAAAGGAAAATAAAATAGAAAAGGTAGACTTGCCTCAGCTTACACATATTTGAGAACTAACACACATGCCTGTATGGGCATGCAGAACACGATGGGGCTTCTGAGCTGATCTTTTGAACTGAGACATCTTTTGAACTGAGCTGGGCTAGAGGTAGAGGGGTAAATTGGGACAGGACTAAGACGTTAGCATAATAATAGAGTGATTTCCTATAATGTTTTTGTACAATATTCTCTGAGTCAAACTTGAGACAGAGAGTAGTCTGTTCCATGTCACTGCCAAATGGCATGAAGACAATAAGACATCATTAAGGAGCTGGAGTGTGGCTCAGTGGTAAAACACTTGCCAAGCATTCATGAGGCCCGAGGTCCATCCCTAGCACACACAAAAAATCATTGAATTCTTCAACCCACAGTTTTTCTCCCCTCTCCCCTCTCCCCTCTGCCTTCTCATTTCCTTTCTTCTCTTTCCCTCCTCTCCTCTCCTCTCCTCTCTCTTCCTCCTCCTCCTCCTTTTTCTTCTTCTTTTCTCTGTCTCTGTCTCTCTCTCTCTCTCTGTCTCGTTCTCTGTTTCTCTGGACATGAAGAGACCCATGGCAGGGCAGCCGCTTGTGGCACTGAGCTAAATCCCTGGCCCCTAGAGAAGACGATGGTTACAAACAAAAAAGAGATATTCATATGCTCAGGAAGTATAGAGCAGAGATGGGGAACAGCCACAAGCCAGAAAGGATACATAAGAAATCCCTTCATAGTATAGAACAACCATTTAAAAGATAGAGCATTATCCAGACAATAGTGTTACACAAGCCGAAGACAGAGCAGTCTTAAAGAAACCTTGGTCAGCTAAAGAAAACAAAAACACTTAGGTATGTTGTAAGGCTTCATGAGTAAATGAGTTTCAAGTGTATGGCATATTCCTGTTTTAACCATACTTGCCTCCTTCCAGCCAATTTCGTGAGGTACATGGAACCAGGGAATCAAACAGCTATTTCAAAATTCTTTCTTCTGGGACTCTCTGAAGATAAGGGACTGCAGCCCCTCCTGTTTGGGCTGTTCTTGCTAATGTACCTAGTCTGTTTTATAGGGAACCTGCTAATCATCCTGGCCATCAGCTCTGACTCCCACCTCCACACCCCCATGTACTTCTTCCTCTCCAACCTGTCCTTTGTGGACATCTGCTTCACTTCCACTACAGTCCCAGAGATGCTGGTGAACATCCAAGCACAAAATAAAGCTATCACCTATGAAGGCTGCTTTACACAGATGTATTTTTTCATGATTTTTGCTGGCCTGGATAGTTTGCTACTGACTGTGATGGCCCTTGACCGGTTTGTGGCAATATGTCACCCGCTGCACTATATGGTCATCATGAATCATCGGGTTTGTGGTCTTCTGCTTCTGCTTTCTTGGCTGATCTGCCTGACATATTCTTTGTTGCAAAGTTTGATGTTTTTGAAAGTATCCTTCTGTGGAAAAACTGAAATTCCCCACTTCTTCTGTGAACTGGCTCAGATCCTCAAGCTTGCCTGCTCAGATACCTTTGCCAATGATCTTCTGCTATACTGTGTAACTGGCATCCTGGGTATTATCCCACTGTCTGGGATTCTTTTTTCTTATTCTAAAATTGGTACCGCCATAGTGAGAATTACATCTCCTGGAGGGAAGTACAGAGCCTTTTCTACCTGTGGCTCTCACCTCTCAGTTGTCTCCTTGTTCTATGGCACGGGCCTTGGGGTTTACCTTACTTCTGGAACAGCCCATCCCTCCAGAGAGAGCTCAGTAGCCTCAGTCATGTACACTGGAGTTGCCCCCATGCTGAACCCCTTCATCTATAGCCTTAGGAACAGAGAATTGAAGGGAGCTCTGAGGAGAATTTTTCAGCACAGAAGTTTGTTCTCAGTGAGACAATGGAACTAAAGGATAAACAAAAGAAATCCAGACTTCTGATGACTAATGTGTTTCTACACTAAATTCCTCCATAATCTGAAGATACGAAAAAGAAACACCACTCATGAACCGTGAGAAGAAAATATTCTGGAACAGAATACAACTTAAGTTAACACATCAAAAGGTTCATTATCACCTGGAAGGGTGTCACTCAGTGATAGAATGTTTACCTAGTTTGTGCAAGGATCTGGGTTCAATTGCATAAAAACTTTAAAAAATTTTAAAGGCTCATAACCTACTAAGGAAAATAATAACCAACCAGTATCTAGGCTTTGAAAAATAAGACTATGGCTGGTCCAAAGGTAGTGAGTTATCTCAATTGATTGTTCACAGTCAGTACAGATTGAACTCCTTGTTCTACTCTTTCCCTCCTTCTCACTACTGCACTTGACTAAGTCTAAAAAAAAAAAAAGAAAGAAAGAAAGAAAAAGAAAAGAAAAATAGACTATTTCAAGGATAGACTTTTACAACTGTCATGGGAAGAGAAAGCAAGTCAAAGAATATACCAAAAGAGAAAACAGGACAACAGTAACATGTATTCACATATTACTGGTTCAATTTTACCCTTATTGGTTATGTTCTAGCTCTATAACTGTTAAGCTAAACTTTTCCCTGGTCTCCATCTAGAAGGTGTGATAGTTGTACTAAAATGCACTTTCCTCTTTCTCGTAAAATTTTACTTACTGAATTTTGCTTTGGTGTTTATTACACATCTGGGAGTGTAACTCAGTGGTAAAGTCCTTGGCTAGCATGTACAAAACCCACACTTTGATATATAGAACCACAATAAATAAATAGATAGATAGATAGATAGATAGATAGATAGATAAATGGGTACTTTCATGTAAAAAAATATAAAACAGCTTCCTCAGGCAACCCACTGCAGTGACTACTTTAAGAGAAAGTAACCTCTAGTTTAATCAATCTGTATAAGCTACGAGTTCTGAAACAAAACTACAACACAATTCACTCACTATGATACTGCCTTGCTCCACATTCTTCACTTCAAGCTATTTCTCAGAAATTAGTTTTCAAACAAAAAACTGTCAAGTCTTTAGCAAGACCTTGCATACATTTCAGTTCTCATGGCACTTGTATTTGAGGGACAACACAGCATAAAGGTTAAGGAGGCTCTGAGTTCAAATCTCAGTCATTTCTTAAGAGTGCAATCATGGGTAAGTTACTTAATTTCTGTGTCTCTACACCCTGGTGTATAATAAGGATAATGATAATTATCTCGAGCAGTTCTAGAGAGGATTAAATATTACAAATAAAAGAGCTCAGAATACTGCCTGGTATGACACTCAATATGAATACCAGAAATGGATTGCAAGATCCATAAGGAACATCGAGGTCAAGTACCTGAACTTTCAGAGATTGCAATTAGCCAGCCAGAAATCCTATCTTTTCCTTTAACTCTAATAGCCTGCACTGGCATGAGGTGAGGAGCAAGGAGGAATCTAGCAGCAACAGAATGAAGCTAGAAAATCTGAAAGTCCAGGCTGATGATGTTGGATAGGGCTGAGTATATCCCCACAGTCCTGACTCAGGGGAGCCAGGAGTCATGAATAAGAGATGTCCTGTCCCAGGCTTGGCTCTTATCAGAGTCCTAGGAGAACTGCCATTGGAGGTGACAAGATCTGTGGAGTACAACAGAGAACTAAGGAGAAGACCAGGAAATGGCTCCAAGTATGAACTCCCCACAACAGAGAGCTAAGAGGACAAAACATCATTTATGGATGGTTTACCTTCATTAGCAGGTGCTCCTGCACTGTGAGCACAAAACTACAACCTGCCTCGGGTTGGCTTGAGGACTGGCAAAAACTCTTAGTACTGAATTTGGTCTCAGGCAGATTTTGATGTCTGAGTCCTATCTTTGCCCTTAAGACAGACATTTATTCTCTGTCTCTAAGCAGCTTCAGATTCTGCATTTGTAAATGAGTGATGGGGTGATTACAGAAAGTCAGTGTGAAGTGTTTGATACAGTGATCCAAAGTAGGCAGTACATGACATATTTATGAACACAGAACTTATTCATTTACCTGGAGGAAGATCTTTTGGCAAGATACTGCTCCCTTGAAAGTTCTGCCCAGCTGCTTTCTTTTCCAGTAGGTACCTAAGGGTGAGGGCATAGATTGCTCCTAGGGAAAAAAGGCTTAGTTCAGCAGGTTGAGGTCTCACCTTCCTATAACTCTATGGAGCTCTTGGCCTTGATAACCTGGGCAAAAGTAGGCTTGTCAAGGGGCTGACCACCTGATGTGCTGATTGCTTTGCATCTCCCTTAACTCCTGCCCCAGAAATTATTTCTCTACCATAAGGTTTTAAACTTGAGTGTTATTGACATTTGGGGTTAGATAATTCATTTTGTGGGTGCAGACCATCCTGAAGAACATTTAGTAGGATCTTTAGCTTCAGTAGCTGCCACCTCCCCTCCCCGTTTAGAACACTACCACCTAAATGGCTCTAGACATTGCCAGATGATGTCCCATTGGGCAAACCCTCCCTCGATGACAACCACTGATATAACATGAACCAGAAGAGTAAACAAAAGAGAAATGCAGACAAAGAGAGGGGAAGATCCTAGAGTTAAGATACTGATCTCTAGTCAAAAGTCCTAGCACAGAAAACAAATAAATTTTTTTAAAATTTAAAAAAAAAAGGGGGCTGGGGATTTATCTCAGCGGCATAAGCACCTGCCTTGCAAGCGCACAGTAGTGAGTTCAATCCCTGGTACCAATTGAAAAATAAAAAATAAAAAATAAATTAAAAAAAAAAAGCTCTAGCACAGGAGAGGGCTTACATCTGGAATAAAGAAACAACAGGACACACTTGTTGAATACGCAGATGAGTATTTTTAGTAGTCTCAAAACTCCAGACAAAATCTTCCTCATATGATCTTCATGTCTCCTTTTTATCTCCAATGTGTACTGCATGGAAGAGTCTATGTAAGTGTTTGCTAAATTGAGTATGTCTCATGCTCAGTGTGTCAAGCCATTAGTTACACATTTTGTGGGTTAACCATCACATCAGTCCGTAAGACAGGTACTACTACCTCCATTTTGAAAAACGGAAAAGAGCAGCACAAAATGAACTCAGAAAATGACAGAAATTGATCTGTCAATGTTATATGAAAATTTCCAAAAGTAATAAGAACTACAAGAGTAATAAAACCCAAAATGTATAAATGTTATTGTAAAAAAGAGAGGAAAAGAAAGTGCTCTAAAGAACACAACTGCAAGTATATTTAGGTGTGTAAGATAGATGACCATATTACTAAGTTTTTGTTGGATCACTGAACACAACTGTTTGCAATCTCACTGTTTGACTGTCCACTTTGTATGCTTAATTTTGTAACATGAACAACTACTTCTAAGATGATAATATGTAATCCATTAACTAGTGATTTCTTACTGTTTTTTTTTAAATTCTTTATTACTTGTACCGTTTTACTGTTTTATTTTGTTTTTCTTTAAATAAAATTTTAAAAAAATAGAAAAAGAAAGTTTCCACTGTCTGATTCTGGAGGCAAACCTCTCCTACAAATTTCCCTCCAAGCAAGTTGTTTAGGGGAAAGATACACCATTTTTCCTTGTGTTGACCTCTGTCCTCAGAATTCTATACTCCTTAGGAATGAAATCTGTGAAGCATATACAGCAAGATTCCTTCTATCAGATAAAAGACTAAGGGAACACATTTCCATAACATTGGCTGAGTCCAAGGGGTGTGGACCTGCAACCACTCATCCCATCTATATAAAACATGTATATATATAACCATATATACACATAATTTTTTATACATGTACACATATGATTTATATAAATATATATACACATATAATTTTTTGTAATAATTGTGCAGGTATGCAGTTCAGGTTGTCCTTGAACAATGTAGACAGCTAACCTCCTGCCTCAGCCTCTCAAGTGGTGGAGATTAAAGCAGGTGTCACCACATCCTGCTATCCAGAAAGAAGTGCATATATGGCAGGTGATAGCGGTCCTGTAGGGTTATATCACCTACTGTGTGTGGTAAAAACACTCTATGTCCCCATAATGAATTAATTTTCACCTAATAACACATATCTAAGGAGAACAACTTTAATAAACATAGTATAAATATGTACGTGTGTGTGTATAGTATACAATACATCTCATCATACCTGTCTGGCTTTAGCTCCTACTGCAAAGCTCCTTGTGATACAAATCTGATAGTCTGTATGTACCTGGGCATTCTAAAGTGGCATAATCATGCGATTCTATTCCTAAATACTCTCTCACTTGTTTTGGTTTGAAACAGTCTTGCTATGTAACTCAGGCTGGCCTTGAACCTGGAGCAGTCCTCCTGCCACAGCCTCTAGATAGCTGAAGTGATGAGTGAGTGCTGCCACCCTCAGCTTTTTCCATATTTATAACCTTACACCTTAGCCTGTATCACCTGTGTGTTCCTTGACTGCCTCAGGTTGAACATCCCCTCCCTGGAGCCTCCTGAATGGATTAACGCAAACATTTGGTTTTGTCTAAAGACTGAGAAGCAATGAGCAATAGCTACTTTGTTTAGAGCCAGGGATTTAGCTCATTAGCCTATGCTGGCTAATAAGCTAATCCCCTGGAGGCTGGGCCTAGAGTTGGATTCCTAGTACCCAAAAAAAGTAACAATAAAAGTTTTTTGTTTAAACATCTCCTCCAGACCTTCAGTTGAGCACACGACTGTATCTTAATAATCTCTATTTTCTTATAACCTAAATGTAAGGAACTGAACTGACTGAGATTCATTCTGTATACAACAGGTTCCCTAGAGGGAATCATTCCTTAGTGGATTGGAAGTTACCCACATGTTACACAGGACATGGGTGAGCCCTGCTGGAGATGCCACACGCATTTAGAATGTGAAAGACCAGCTTAGAGGGTAATTAGAAGGGCCTCCAGAGAGGCTCTGAGGGGTACCTTCTACCTGAGAACTCAAGTAAGTGCCATCGGATTTGAGAATCCTGGCCCACTTGCTGACGATGGAAACTCATTATGTTTCTATCCTGACAATTGCAGGTGATGAAGGAATTGGCCACAGAGGGAACAAAGTGAACAAATCCCAAGTTCCTAATTACAGACACAGCCCCCTCACTTTATGTGATGCAAAGAGAAAGCAGCAATTCCCTCTAGGCCCAACCTCCAGGGCTTACATCCTATTTTCTAACCGTAACAAGAATCAGTTAAGTGACTACTATTTCTTCGCTAATAAGTCCAGGAAAACTTTTGACTGAAGCCTGGGGGACATCCTGCACTTTCATTCAGGGGTTTCTGCCACTGCCCTGGGCACACATCCAAGGCTGCAAGTGGTTAGGAACAGTCCCAGGTTTCAGGAGGCCACATAGAAGCCCTTGACCAAGCACATGCCCACCATGCACTGAGCCCAGCAGACCCTTTAGCTGACAGCCACAAAATGAGCTGGGAGCTCAAGAGAAGCAGACTGTCCATCGGAGCCAGTGATGCTGCTGTCCCAGTTCCCAGCTTAGTAAGCTTCTTAGTAAGCATCCTTTCCTCTGCACAAGGATGATGACAGCCTTCTAGAGGAGCCAGGAAGAGTGGCTGTTACCCCACATCTGCACTCTCCTTGGATGAGATAGAGAAATTACTAGAAAATATGACCACAAATGTTAAAATTTCTGTATTTAGGAACTAGACTGACTTAGATTCTCAAAAAGTAACAGGATTGATTTAAGCATCAGCTTTCATTCTCAAATCACTGAAGTAGCAGTGTACTAAAGGCTATAGTGGACTTCATGTTGCTTAAACTAGAGGATTTTCTTGAGTAAGATTAAGATCTTGGTCAGTTGTACATGGGTCATACCTGTAATTCCAATTACTCAGGAAGTCAAGGCAGGAAGACCTCAAGCTTGAAGACCCTGACTAAATAAAATAAATAGGCAAATAAGAGTACTTGCCTAAGGGGCTGGGGATTTAGCTCAGCAGCCTAAGCGCCTGCCTTGCAAGCAGGCAGTCGTGAGTTAGATCCCCGGTACCAATAAAAAGGAAAAAGAAAAAAAAAAAAAGAGTACTTGCCTAGTGTGGCTGAGCTTCTGGGTTTAATCCCCAAAACCACAAAAACATGAATGATTAAGACCTTGTAGGCTAAACCAGATAGAAGTCAATAGGCTTAGCAGACTAAAAATACAGATTCAACTGCCATTGAAAGAAAGACTGTAAAAGCCTAATGTTCAGCCAGGCGTGGTGGTAGTGCACATCGAGGTAAAAGCAGGATCACTGCGAATGCAAAGATAGCTGTGATTAAAAATACCTGGAATTGCAGCCTTAGAAGGCCAAAGCAGGAGGGCAAGCTGAGTTTGAAGCCAGGTTAGGCTACACAGTGAATTCAAGGCCAGCATGAGAAACAGCAAGACCCCGGTCTCAAAAAGCAAAACAAAATAAAAAACATAAATTACTGAGAAATATGCATGTCTGAGTGCAAGGGTTTTCTAGAGAGCATCTAGCTGAGTGAGGAACCATCTTTCCACCAATAAAGCAAACAGATCACAATGAAATATCCATAGCACCTTAACAAGTGATCAGTTTATTTTTTCTCATATAGTAGGAAATTCAGAAGTAATAAGTTATGAAGATTCTCTAAGAAGCCATGGGGAAGCCAGAATCACTGTGACTGTGCATTAGTGTCCTCGTCAGTGTCTGGCTTTCATCCTCATGATCACAACACCAACCCTGTAATACTATGGACTAGGTCCTTGCAAGGTGAGACATGGGAAAGAGTAAAGAATAAAATGTGGAGAAGAACCCAGGTAGGAAAGAACCCTGCTCAAGAGCTTTTTCTCAGAAACTCTTACAGTGATCTCTGTTTATTTGTCTATATGATATGGACAGGAAATACTGAAAGAAAATCTTTAAGAGATTTTTAAAACAGCACACCTTACTAGTCCAACAGAACATGGATTCTTCTGATATGGAAGATGACAGTGGGCACTCAGGAAGCAACTAGAAGCCTATGCCTCCCCTGGCTGTGTGGGAGGCTACAAACATACAGAACAGTCCAGGTGATGGATTTTATGCTCTGATCATGATGCATTCCAATCAGAAAGCAGTAACAGGTACTGAGCATAAGACAGCATAAGACACAATCCTGAATAGGCCATCAGTCAATAGTATGCCAAAAGGAAGTAAAGATATGTCAGGAATGCAGCCCTAGTAAAAATATCATAAGCGAAACTTCTGTGAGGAGGCATAAGGGTTGAAAGGGGCATAATCTTAAAAATAAAGGGAAAAAATTAATATACTGGGGCCTAGTTTCACGACTAATCCATCAGGTAGAGTCTGGAGATCTCTGGAGAATATCATAGCGTTTCCTTCTCAAGGAGATACAAACACAGTGAGGGTATAGTGGCTGAAATCCTTTCCACAGAGGGTCACCAACAGGCTCAGGCTCAGTTATTTCCTGAAAGAACTTGTAATTTTAAATTTTAAAATAAATTTTTTCCAGTAGAACTGGCCTCAAGAATCACAGACTTCAGTCTGTTACTGCAGACTCTAACTGGGATTGTTCCCCACCTCTGTGAGACAAACATTTTAGGGCACACAATTCACACAAGGGGCTCCTTTGGATGGCAGGAAATTTGGCAGCTTCATGATGACTTCCTGCAGTGTGGCGGTAGCATAATTTCTCTGTGCTTCATGCATAACTGTCTCCTGCAACACTAAATCTCCCCTGGGTAGCAAAACTGCTCCCAGGTAAGAACCATGCTGCAGACCAAGCATAGGCCATGCTTTTTGGTCACAGCTTTAAGGACCACATTTCATCTCTCCTATGCTTCCTCTTTGGAAATGAAACAACTATGCTCAGCTTATGAGAATCAGATAGCTGGGAATGGTCTGTTCCTTGCTTTTGTAGACTTCCCCACATTCCTTACTTCACAGATTCTTCTCTCCAGTGATTTTGCTCAAGGAATACGGGGAGACTAAGAAAGGCTTCCCCAAGCAGCCACTATGACAGAGATTCTCTCATCCTTCCCAGAAGGTGATAACTGCTTAAGTTATTCTGACATTTAGTGCCAAGCTGGAGCTTCTCTCTTGAAGTTCTCTCATGTTTAAGAGTTTGGTGTACCCAAAGGTGACTCCAGGACAGATTCATATCCTCTTCTTCCAAAAGATCTCCCACGTGAAATAGCTCAGTTCTTATATAGCTTTACAGAAGCTGGATCTCTAAATTTCATGCACCTCGTTTTATTCTGTTTGGTTGAGACAAGATGTTGCTACTATGTAATCCAGGCTGGCCTTGAATTTGTGATTCTCGTGTCTCAACTTCCCAAGTGCTGGGATCACACATCCAGCTCCATGAAGGGTTCCCACATTCTTTATGCCTCTGTAGCTTCCTTGTGGTTTGGGTGCTCACTGCAGCCTCTTCCACACGGAGGAGGCGAAGAGCTTCTCCCCACGGTGCGTTTTCACATGGCTCCGCAGGGACGAGTGGTCACTGAAGGCCTTTCCGCAGGTCAGACACTCGTAGGGCTTCTCACCAGTGTGGATCCGCCGGTGCACATTGAGATTTGAGCCGATGCTGAAGGCTTTGCCACAGTGGTCACACTCGTAGGGTTTCTCACCAGTGTGGCTCCGCATGTGCGTCTTGAGCGTGGACTGGTTACGGAAGGCCTTGCCACACTGTCGGCACTCCACTCGCTTCTTCACCAGATGCACACTCATGTGCCTCCTTCGGGACAGGTAGTCACCAAAGACCTTGCCACAGGCCGCACACTCATAGTGCCGTTCCTGCGTATGAATCTTGCGGTGCGCTGTGAGGTTGGAGCTGGCGCTGAAGGCCTTGCCACACAGGTCACAGCTGTAGGGCTTCTCGCCAGTGTGTGAGTTCATGTGCGTCTTCAGGATGGACTGGTTGCGGAAGGCCTTCCCGCACTGGCGACACTCCACCGGCTTCTTCACGATGTGACCCCTCATGTGCTTCCGACGCGACACCAGGTCCCCGAAGGGCTTGCCACACTCCTTGCAGGGGTAGGTCTTCTCCACGGTATGATTCTTCTTATGCAGGTTGAAGTTGGACTTCCAGCGGAAGGCCTTGCCGCATAGTGTGCATGCGTAAGGCTTCTCCCCGGTATGGTTGCGCACATGCTCCTTTAGGTGCGAAGGGTGCTGGAAAGCCTTGCCACAGTCCTGGCACTCATAGGGCCGCTCCCCAGTGTGTGTGCGCTTATGCGCAATCAGGTGGCAGCTGCGGCCATAGGCCTTACCACACTCGTCACACTTGTAGGGTCGCTCGCCAGTGTGCACTCGCATGTGGATCTTCAGGGCCGACAGCGTGCGGAAGGCATTACCACACTGGCTGCAGTCAAAAGGCTTCTCCTTGAGGTGGGTTCGCGAGTGGCTCCGAAGGGCCGAGGGGTCATTGAAGGCCTTCCCACAGTCCCGGCATTCGTAGGGCTTCTCCCCAGTGTGGATCCTACGGTGCCGTGTGAGGGACGCGCTGGTGGTGAAGCCTTTCTGGCACTGGTGGCACTCATGCATCTTTCGCCCATCGTACATGCTCATGTGCTGGGAAAGGTGCGTTCTGGGTTTGAAGGCCACTCCATAGCTGTGGCGGCGATAGGGCTGCCTACCCCCGTGCTGTCTCATCTGCTGCGCAAGGTGAGCACCCATGCTGAAGACTTCAAACAAGTGCTTGTTGTACTCAGCCGACCTCTCCCCAAGGGGAGCTCTGTCCTGTGGGTGAGACACGAGAGCTGACTGGCATTTCCCATCTTCACTACAATTTTCTCCCTTGCTTCCACTCTCTGTAATGCCAGGAACTGAACCCAAAGCTTCCTGCATGCTAAGCTACATTAGGCCCTCTGGGCCTCAGTCCTGACCCCTGCATCCTAAAAAACAGAAGCACAGCAATGTCCAGAAATGTTATGGTATGCTGCTCCTGTCTCCTCTGAGCTTTCCCAAAGAGAATTAAGTGAGTGCTATTCCATAAGGCTCCATGGCTTTTCCTGTCATGAAGCTTTGTTGCATAGTTTGCTCGGTGTTTAAAACAGACAATGTCAAGTGTGTAGTGACACATCCCAGCTACTTGGGAAGCTGAGACAGAGGAACACTGAATTCTAGGCTAGCCTGGAAACTTGGCAAGATCTTGTATCAAAATTTAAAAAATATTTTATCTTGTATCAAAATTTTAAAAAATCAGAAAAGCACTGGGGATGTAGCTCAGTGGCAGAACACTTGCCTAGCATGTGTAAGGCCCCGGGTTCAATCCCTGGTACTAAACACACAAACATCAAACTGAGTATCTTAGATAAATTATGGAACAGAACTCTTAGTGAAGAAGTCTGAGACTATTATTTTATCCAAATCGACAATCTGCTTGGTCCTCAGTATCATGAGTTTCTGCATCCAGATTCCAACCAACCATGGTCTCAAAATATTTCAGGAAAACCATTACAGCCTTATTATTGAATGTGTACTTATTTTCTTATCATTATTTCTTACACAAAAAAAATAGCTATTTAAGTATCATTCGCACTGTTATTAGTATTACACGGAATCTAAAGATAACTAAAAAGCCTGTAAGAAAGTACCTGTAGATCCAATGTGAAAACATGCCACTTTAAATAAGGGCCTTAAGCATTGGCAGATATTAGCATTTGCAGTGTGCCATGGAATGACTCCCTGCAGATATCCAGGAACCATAGTACTCAGAAACAGTGGAGAACTACAAAATGCTTCCTCCTTAAAAGAGGCCATGTGCCTGGGGTTGTGTTGTTTTGTTTTGTACTGTGGATCAAACTCACAACCTTCCACTTGCCAGGCAGGCGCTTAAACCACAGAGCTAAACCCCCGGCCTCATGTCTCGTTCTGATGTGCTTTTTTTTTTTTCTTTTTTTGACGGTACTGGGTACTGAACCCAGGGCCTCTTACAAACTGAGCCACATCCCCCATCCCTCTGACATTTTTACTCTTCAGTCACTCAAGCTGTGCTCAAACCCACAGTCCTCCTGCCTCAGGCTCCCAGAGTGCTGGGATTCCAGGCCTACACCACCACGACTGGTAGTAAGGATGCTTTTCTAACTATAACTGTCCCAGTCTACTAAAATGTAGAAAAGTCAACAATTCTAAGGAACTCTTACCATCATCATACCACCAGATGTTTCCTTCCCAAATATATCTTCCATGAGAATTGACCACTTGGTTTTAGATGGAGTTTCCCAATCTGAAACAAGTTGGAAAAATACTAATTTGCTGGAGAAAAATAATGGTGGCATTTTTGGTGGGTATTTTTGCAGATAGTAAGCACACACAAAGAAAAGCAATGTAAAAGGGAAAAATACACAAGAGCAAACTATCTGTTAATGAAGTTGCCAAGCGAGATAATGGGCAATCATGGGAAAAGAAAAAATGTAAGTCAATTCAGGCTGACAGTGATAACAAGAATTTTTAGAAAATTACTCAGTTCGTTTTTTGAGGGGTTTTGTTTGCTTGTTTCAGACAGGGTCTCGCTATTGTAGTTCACGCTGGTCTTGAACTCAATAAATAGCTTTGGCTGGCCTTGAACTTGCTGAGACCTTCCTGCCTCAGCTGAGTGCTAGGATTACAAATGTGAGCCACCATACCAAGCTTCTAACAGGAGTATCATGAGGAAATTCTCCTATAAAAGGATAGAACTAAGAGGCCATGTAGAAACACAGTCCAAAGATAAAAGGGCATACAGACTGAATGACTTGTGAGAGAATGGACAGCTGTAAGAGAGCACATCTTCTAAGGTGTAATTACCTAGTATACCTTCTTGCCAAGGTTTGCCCCTGGGGTTCATGTGTTAGAGGCCTGGTCCTCAGAGTAGTGCAGTCTACTGGGAGGGATTAGGTCACTGAGCTGGTGCTCTCAGATGAGTCAACACTAGTATCCCCAAGTAGCCAGCCCTCACAAGAATGGGCTGTTATGAAAACAGAAAGACCAGCACCCCTTGGGCTCTGGCTTCCTATCTCACCATGGGGCCTGCATCTCCCTCTCAGACAGGTTTATGCCAAGAGACATGTGCCATGTTCTTCTAGGGAGGTGACTTGCCAGGACTCCACCACTATGAACTAAATATACATAAGCCATTTTCTTTCTACATTATCCAATCTCAGAGATTTTTGTCAGAGAAACAGTAAATGTGCTGGTACACTCACTCCACTCCAAACTCTGGCTAGCGCTAGTCAAAAATCACTTCTATTTGCTGTCTGCTCACTGTGTTGGTCAGCTTGCCATTACTGCCACCAAATACCCAAGGAAAATGACTTAAAAGAAGAAAGGTTTATTCTAGCTCACGATTTCTGAGGTTTCAGTCAGTAGTGAACTATCAATTGCTTTTAGGCCCTGGTAAGGCAGAAACATCACAGAGAAAGAAAGCTGAAAGCTGCTCACTTCCTGGCAGCCAGGAAGCAGAGAAGAATTGGAGAGGAAGCAGTTTGGGAAAGAATATATTGTTCAAAGCCACTCCCACAGTGACCCACTTCATCTAGTTAAATTCCACACTGGAGTAGGCCTGGTTAGCTAATAAATTCATGAATGGATTAATCTACTTGGTGAGGTTAGAGACCTCATGATCCTATCAGCTTCTGGGAGGACATTGTTAGATGTAAACTATAACATTCGCTCACCTGGACAAGTCCCTTGTTGAGTCCCCCTCTCCTCAGTCCTTGGGTCCGCTTCTTGCTCCAAGTGAGAGATAAGGCTGGGTTTTCCAATGTGATACCCTACTCACGGGGAAAGACACATGTTGAGGGAGGACTGTGCAGAGGAGAACCCCTTCCATTAATCTGGGCTCAACATTTTGGTCTTCGGGGTTCTGAAGATAGATAAGTTTGATTTAGGAGCAGCAAAATGATGGTTTCACATTTCTAAGGAACACAGTAAAAAGTCTTTCATAAGAAACAAAACCTTGAATGCCCACGCATTTTAACCCTCCAAAAGAATGACTTTTTTTAGGTGGTGATGGTGCTGGGGGCAGAACCCAGGGCCCTACCACTAAGCCACACTCCCAGCCCAACAACAAGGATTCTTTAATCTCAGAAATCTGTGCCCAAGTTCACACTCACTGAGAGCCTGCAAGGTTACCATGATGAATGGTAAGGTCTCAATGATCCCAGATGCCACCAGGAACGTGGGCCCACTTGTACCTGGTTCTTACTAGTGTCACAAACCCCTGACTACTTAGACCGAAATAGCTGTTTTGAGACCAACTAAACAGGAACTGGAGGGCAGGCTTACCCAGTGAAGTCAGGTTGCTATAGTTCTCAAGCATCACATCTCTGTACAGCTTCCTCTGAGAGGTATCCAGGAGAGGCCATTCCTTCTCAGTGAAGTCCACAGCCACATCCTGGAAAGTCACGGATTCCTGAAATGTCATACAGATTCAGGGTCAGGCACAACCCAGTGATGACAGGAGTAGTGGAAGACAGCATGAGACACTTGACATAGGTTCTCCAGGTGCTATGCTGTGCGTCTCAGCAGCTGCTCAGTAGCTAAGTCCCCAGACATCTTCCTCCCAGGGGATGATCTTGCCCCATCCCTTCATTCAAATGCAATCTGACAAGGCACTAAGTCATGCTCCACTTCAAGCCTCATCTGAGTGTGTCAGCTTTATGTTCCTGTCCCTAGGGTGGGACATGGGTGGACCTGAGCAAGCACAAGAAGGACATCTAGTGCATAAATACTTCTCCTGACCTCCTGGATGGCAGGTTAGCCATTCTGTACTCCTTGGCTCCTTCCTAGGCCCTGGAAGAAGCCCTGGGAAAATTGTGGCCTAAGTCACTGGGTCCCCCAATAGCAATTGAATGCCCCACCCACTCTAGGACTCTGGACATCCGTCGTACCTGATTACACTCTCTGGCGGGTGTATGAGGCTCCAAATCATGGCATACAAATAGGTCCAAATCCTGGGAATAGGAATGGTGCTTTGAAGGAAGAGGGAATTCTGACTCTTGGAGACAGGCAGGGTCCTGGGTGGACACAGCTAAAGAAGAAGATTCATGAGAAACAGTTGGCCCCCACTAACTGTAATTGTGCACACTCCCAAACAACACACACACACACACACACACACACACACACACGCACGCACGCACGCACGCACGTTAATTAATACACAGAGAAAAGAGCTAAGTGTGGTGGTGGTCTATACCTGTGATCCTAGCATTCAGGAGCTGAGGCAGAATTGCTATGGGTTCAAGGGTGGCCTGGGCTACACAGCAAGATCCTGTCTCAATTAATAAATCAACCAACCAATCAACCAAATACACCAAAGCAGCCCAGCTCCACTCAAAGACACAAAAGATACTGGATCTACATGCCCATAAGAAGCAGTACTCAGGGGCTGGGGATTTAGCTCAGCGGCATAAGCGCATGCCTTGCAAGCAGGCAGTCGTGAGTTCGATCCCTGGTACCGATAAAAATGAAAAAGATCAAAAAAATAAATAAAAAAAGAAGCAGTACTCAGGTTCTCTAACCCAAAATAGGTTGGACCACAAGTACTTTGGTTCACAGACATTTCTGGGTTTGAATAGATATAATGGGCTATCTTGGGATGGGACCAAAATCTAAACACAAAATTCATTCGTGTTTCACAGCCGCCTTACATATCTGGTATTCTCAATGTGCCTAACTTCTGATCACAAGAAGTCAGGGATGGAATTGTCCAACTATAATGTCAGATTTTAGATTTTGATATTACAAACGCTCAATCTGTATCTATTTTTAATTCATGAGTGAAAAACTGAAGTTCAGAGAATGTAGTTATTACGTTGCTCAAACTTATCAAAATAAGAGTTAAATCAAGGTAACCCTCATCACCCTCCTCACATACCAACCACACAGGTCTCTCTCCCTGAACCCACCCCATCACTCTCTAGCTCACCCACTTTCCAGGGCAACAGCCCTGTGACTTGTGCAGGTTCTTTCATGGAATGAACTACAGGGACTGCATCCAGTCAGTCTCTAAGGGCAAGAACTCAAAGACTCACCACATGTTGGAAACAGACCAGAAGCTGCCATCTTGAGAGAATGGCGTCAGCAGGGCAACAGCACCAGGACAACCAGGAAGCTCCTGTTCTTCTCTCATGGAACTCTCCAGGCTGGCGCCTGTGGTAAATGAAAAGGGTCTGGGGAAGTCAAAGGCTTTTGAAGAACTGTTTAGTTTGGGGCAGTTCTTTTGAGCAGCAAGATGTCTTACCTGGCCTTCATCTCTCTTAGCTAAATCCTCCAAGTAATGAGACAGAAGGGTCTCTAAGTGGTTTCAAACAGAATCCAGACTTACCCTCTAAGTAATGTGTCACTAGGCACAACTTGAACCACACACCTCTGATCTCCCTCTTCCTTTAAGGATGCCACCACAGAGGACAGCTCTGTCCATAAGGATGGTCCACCAGGGAACAGAAATTCTGGTCTCCAGATTGTGACACATGCTCCATGCCACCAAACACATCTGGGTTCAGAGCCTAGGTCTTACTGCAACTGTAATCAGTCTTTCCTCCCAGGCAATGACTGGGAAATCTACTCACAGGCTGAGGGTGTGGCTCAGTGATAATATTTCTTAGCACATGTGAAACCCTGAGATTATGGATGAATGGCTGGGTAGATGGATGGCTGGGTAGATGAATGGATGGATGAATCGATGCATGGACTGGTGGATGGACGGGGAGCTGGAGGATGATGAATGAAAAGATGGATGGGTGGACAGATGAACAGATGGATGGATCAAAGGGTGAATAGATAGGTGAGTGGATTGATGGATGTACTGTTGGATGGATGGATGGATGGGTAGCTGGATGGATGTGTTGATGGGTGAGTAGATTAATAAATGGGTGGGTAGATTGATGGGTAGATGGATGAATGGATAGATAGGAAAGTGGGTGGGTGGGTGAGTGGATGGTTGAATAAATGGATTTATGCATGGGTGGGTAGGTGAATGGGCTGGCAGATAAGAAAGCGGAAGAGATGAAGAAAATAGCTCTTTGGACAAAGAGCTTTCTCCCCCCATTACTCCTCTCACTAAGAGAAAACTCCAGGCCACCTGTGCTTCTGCCATCATGCTAACAGCTGCCTCCTCCTCTCATCACCACAGCTTTTCAGTTAAGTCAGACTCTGTCACTTCCACCATGTGTTTGGGGAAGGCAGAGAGGGGCAAGAAATGGGAAATAAAAGAATTGAGATGTATTATGTTTATGTACCAATTGTTCATGATGAGTGTGACTATTATGTACTGCAAACATGGACTAATAAAAATAAAGAGTCAGAAAGTGAACTATTTGTCTAAATTTCTTTACCTTTCTGTTTACTGCAATCCTTAAGGAAATACCAGTCCTGGATAATTCATTCCAACCCTCTGCAACACAGGCAACCAGGCTGCATACAACCAGTCAAAACACCGACGTATGGGTGTGGGGATTTAGCTCAGTGGCATAAGCGCCTGCCTTGCAAACACGTAGTCATGAGTTCAATCCCCAGTACGAAAAACAAAACACTGACCCAGAAACTCTAAGTGGCTAACCCCCCAGGGCATCTACACAACAGAGGACCAGGTAGAGCCATCTTTCAGTGACCCTGAGATCACCTACGCACTTACCAGTTTCTGATGAGAAACTTTTTAAAACTTTAACTGTTTTTTTAAAAACTTTTCTTACCATTATTTTAACTTTCAACACATAATCTTATACTTTACCCTATGGTAATCAAAACTAAACAAACATACCTCAAGAAACAGGAAAACAACAATCAGAAAGCAACTGTCTTTACAATAGCATATAAAAACTACCCAGAAATAAAAGAAGGAGCCAGGCATGGGGGCACATGCCTGTAATCTAAGCTACTTGGGAGACTAAAGAAGAAAAACTACAAGTTCAAGATCAATTTGACAATTTAGCAAGACAATGCCTCAAAATCTTTTTAAAAACTTGAAAAAAAGGCTGGGAGAATAGTTCAGTGGTCCCTGGGTTCAATCTGCAGAATGGAGGAAAGATAAAAGGGAGAGTAGAGGAGGAGGAAGGGAAGAAAAGAAGTACAAAACCTTGACAATAAAAACTATGAAGCACTGTTGAATTAAAGTAAAAACCTACATAAATGGGGAAATATATTATTTTCATGGAGTGAGAGATTCAGTATTAAGTTACTCATTGTCTCCAATTTCATTTACAGACAGAACAGTTTGTACCAAAAGACAAGTGCATATTTCTTTTTTAAGAAACTGAAAACCCAAATCCATAATGTTTAAAAAATAATAACTTTGAACATTTGTTTTTTTTCTCAAACATGCTGGTGATGTGATTCAGTGGTAAAGTACCTTGCTAACATGAACCAATCTCTAGCACTAAAGAAAAAATATACATATACATATATATATATGTAATATATATATATATATATATATAGAGAGAGAGAGAGAGAGAGAGAGAGAGAGAGAGAGAAGAGAAACTTAGAAATTTGGCTCCATTCTTCCTGTGGGCACAAAATCTACAGGTTTGCTTGTTTAAGATAGGGTCTCACAAAAAGGGGGGTGGGAAACGGGGAGGGCTGGAGATTTGGCTCAGCAGCATAAGCACCTGCCTTGCAAGAGCAGTCGTGAGTTCGATCCTCGGTACCAAAAAAATAAAAAGAAATACAAGATAAGGTCTCACTATGTATTTCAGGTTGGTCTTGAATTCACTGTGTAGCCCAGCCTGACCTTGACCTTCCTGCAGATCTTTCTGCCTTAGCCTCCTGAGTGCTGGGATGATAGACATGTACTGCCACACCAGGCTGCATAATCTAATTTGACTCTAAAACCTCTTAGGATCAGTCAAAACTTCCTATCTACAGCAAACCTTTTCATGACCTTGAATTACAATCTCTTATACAATCTCTCTCTCACACACACACAGTCAGATGCAGTGCTACACACACATGTAGCATCAGCTAAGGCAGAAGTTCAAGGTCAACCTGGACAACTTAGCAAAACCCCATTTAAAAAAAGAGAAGAAAAAGAAGAATCAAGTAAAATAATGAAAGAATAGAGCATGGTGCTGCACTCCTATAATCCTAGTACTCTGGAGGGTGAGGCAGGAAAAACCTGTCTCAAAAAGACAAAAAAGAAGAAAAGCAAACAGAAAGGAAACGAATTATGGTCTTAAATTTACACTAGTATATCGATGTTCATTATGGTGTTATTCTTAACAGCCAAGAGAGAAAACAACCCAAATCTACTTACAAATGGGCAGATGAGGGCTAGGGATTTAGCTCAGTGGCTTAAGTGTCTGCCTGGCAAGCGCGAGGTCATGAGTTCAATCTCCGGCACCAAAAAAAAAAAAAAAAAAAAAAGGGCAGATGGCAATATGCAGTACATGCAGAAAATAAAATATTACTTAGTCTTTTTAAAAGTAAGCAATTCTGAAACATTCCACAGTGTGCATTAACTCTGAAGACTGGAGGCTACTATAGGAAGCAAAATAAAACACAAAAGAGCAGGTATTTTATGACTCCACTTACATGAGTTTCTAGTGCGATCAAATTCATAGACACAAAGCTGAATAGCTGTCAGGGGCTGTAAAGAAAAACTGAAATTATTTTTTTAAGATTCCAAGTTTCAGTTTTAAATGGTGGGAAGTTCTATACATACACAGTAGCAATGGTAGCACAACATGAAGTATTCTGTAAGTTTGGCTTTGTATATATTTTACTACATTTTTTTTGTTTCTTTGAGACAAGATCTTGCTTTGTAGTTCAGGTTGGCACTGAACTCACTATATAGTCCAGTCTGCCCTTAAATTCTCAAAAGATTCTCCTGCCTCAGCCTCCTGAGTGCTGGGGTTACAGGAATGTGCCACCACCCCTGGATTACTGTCTTTTTGAAATGTAGGGGAAAAAAAAAACACAGTCAAAATCCTGAGGTCACATAGTTTATTTTTCAAATGGTTTCTTTTAGTTTACCATTTCATTATTTTTATTGTTTTTCTCCTTTAGTCTTTGGTTTCAATTTCATTAACTGAAACTGAATTCTGAAACTAGTGACATCTGATTTCATATCAAAAATTAGACTTTTTTTTTTTTTTTGTCTTTTTCCTTTTTATCGGTTCCCGGGGATCAAACTCACGACTGCCTGCTTGCAAGGCAGGCGCTTATGCCACTGAGCTAAATCCCCAGCCCCTTAGACTGATTTTTTATCATGACATATCAACACTGATCAGCCTTCATATTTATTTCACGTTAATGCATATATATTTTTTAACATTAATGTATTTGTACAGCCATGAATCATATGTAGACGTCCCCTAAAACCTTAAGTGCTCATGCTCATAGGGGGGTTTTGGAAGATGACTGAGTGATGGGAGTTTACAGCTTAATGTGCTGTTAGGAGGCCAGGTCTGGTCACAAAAGGTATCACTGGAGGCACCATACTCAATAGCTCCTCCCTTTCCTCTCTGCTTCTGGGAGTTCCTGAATACAATCTCATAGCTGGTTAACCTGTGAGTTAACAAACGTGTTTCCTACAAATATAAAGAAATCAAATGAAATTTTAAAATGAAAAAAAAATACAACTAAATTAGAAAAACTAAAAGCTTTCTAAAAATTGAGTGTGGCAGTGTAAGCTATAATTCCCCCACTGTAGGAGGCGGAAGCACGAAGATTTATAAGCTTGAGCCCATTTTAGACAACTTGGTGACTTAGCAAAAACTTGTCTAAAAAATAAAATGTAAAACAGGACTGGGGATGTAGTTCAGTTAAAAGATCCTGGATTTAACCTCCAGTACTGCCAGAGAGAAAAATAAAAATCCTCCAAAGTACAACTTAAGAAACTACAGGTGAAGTAAAGGTAACAGCAGTCACAAAATTCCTCTCAGCCACTCATATGGACAAATGACTCATCTTTGATGGAATCCAGACTGCACACCACATGAATCATGAATCACTCTTTTGTCTCCTGAACCCCTCAGCAAACCAATCAGACACCATCAGCACCATTAGGACTGTGGAAACAAGTTCAGTCTTTAAGTAACTTGCCAGAGTAAGTAACACAGCAAATGGCAAGGCAGGAACAGTTTTACTTTGATTTTTTGACTGTATTTTTTTGTTTGTTTTGTCTTTTTGAGGCATAATCTCTCTATGCAGTT